AGTTATGGCTGCATGGCATTTCTCTGAGCGGGTTTACTGACGGAGACAACAGCGTAACTTGCTTGTGTAATGTGTGTTGAAATGGCCACTCACAGTTTCCATAGGTAACCCGTGTGTCAGTGTGACAACGCAGGAGCACAGTTGGGAGACAGGGACAGAGTGTTGTCATCCTATAACAGGAAGTGCCTGAACAAGGACCCTTGTAAATAAATGCTGCAGATTGAAAAATACAAGTTTCATCCTACATTAGATATTAGTAATCAGGGTTATGTATACTTGATATAATAAATACATAACTGCACTCACTGGGGTTTGTTAAACATTGCCCAAGAATGGGGCTTTGAGCTATCATTGGAGTATTCGTTTCGCTTTAAGCAGAAAGTGGCTAATGGTTGGCAGAATGTGCAAATGGTTAATGTGATGTGCAAGTGTCATGGGAAAGGCTCATTGATGAGCTCAGAGCCCTATATTGCTGTTGCTCGGCTTCTGTTGACCATGCAAAGGTGACTATTTGAAATGCAAAGGAGTGTTTGATTGGCACACAAGGCCGTGGACAGGCGCCAGCGCGAAGCAGTGCGCCGCAATGACGACTATACACAACCCATACACAAGAGCTCAGAGCTGGAACAATAGGCAAATCTTACGGGGATCTTCTAGTCAAAGAGGTCTGGAATTTGTTGTGTAGACTTCTCTTGTTGCTGTTTCCTCTAAGAAGTATAATAAAACCTGAACTTCAGGCAGATATACGAAAGCTGAGGGCCTGTTTATACCACCGTACCCCGAGGTGACACATTATTATTATTATTAGGTAGGCACCGATACTGATACTAGCATCGGTATCTGTGCTGATGCCGAGTATTTGGGCGAGTACTTGTATACTTGAGCTTCCGGTATCAGGAAGCTGGGCACCGAGTCATTGCACAGGCCGGCTCCATGCACCCTTGTAACATGTGACGAGGGAGCATGGAGCCGGCTTTCCGGCCAATCAGGAAGCCAGGCAGCGTGTAATGATTTGCTGCCCGTCTTCCTGATGGGTCGGGAAGCTGGCCAATCAGGAAGCCGGGCGCCGTGTAATGACGTGGTGCCCAGGTTTCTGATTGGCCAGGAAGCCACCTTCATGCTCCCTCGTCACCTATGTACTGTATATAGATCTACTACCACTAGTGCTTGCTGCTGACCATTATACTGGTGCAAGGTTATAGTGACAGTCTGTTAATGGATTGGCATGACTTATATACTTATGTACAGTCTGTTTTATATATATATATATATTAGGGATGTTCAGATACCAGTGCCGATACTTGGCATTTTCACGAGAACTACCAGGGTTGCAATTGGGACCTGGTTTTGGCATTCCACCACTGTCCTGAAATCAGTAGTTGATATTGTTTTAGAAAAACTGGCACATGACAATAAACAAAAATGTATCAGTACTTGTAAATGTAATAACGGTGCCTCACTTATATATTTTTATAAAAAAAATAATAATACATTAAAATGGGGATGTACAAATCCCAGGAGCTCCGTGTGCTCCTTACATATGACAGCTGCCTCCTAAATTTTGCATTTTTCTCTAGTCTAGTCCTGGAGTTGGAAAAGTATCTGTACATGTACTTGTACTTGTACCGAGTACGGTACTTGGTATCTGAACATCCCTAATATATATAACAGACTGTCACTATAACCTTGCTCCAATATGATGGTCAGCAGCAACCACTAGCGGTAGTGGATCTATATATATAAGTTATACCAATATAATGTACTTCCCTGTAGGTGTGTTGGGGTGCTATTGAGAATAAATCCAATGCCAATGCATTACCAGACTGTCACTATAACCTTGCTCCAATATAATGGTCAGCAGCAGGCACTGCAATGCACTTCCCTGTAGGTGTGTTGGGGTGCTATTTAAAATAAATGCAATGCCAATGCATTACCAGACTGTCAGTATAACCTCACACAAGTATAATGGTCAGCAGCAAGCACTGGTGGTACTAGATACACCACCAATGTATATAAGGCGTACCAATGCATTACCAGACTGTCAGTATAACCTCACACCATTATAATGATCAGCAGCAAGCACCAGTGGTACTAGATACACCACCAATGTATATAAGGCATGCCAATGCATTACCAGACTGTGAGTATTACCTCACACCAGTATAATGATCAGCAGCAAGCACCAGTGGTACTAGATACACCACCAATGTATATAAGGCATGCCAATGCATTACCAGACTGTGAGTATTACCTCACACCAGTATAATGATCAGCAGCAAGCACCAGTGGTACTAGATACACCACCAATAAAAAAAGGGGCCCCCCCCCCCCCCCATAAAAACGGAGGTTCCCGGAATTCAGAAGTGTGTTTTAGCCAGAGGAAGCACTAAGTAAACATTCATAGATTCAAGAATTTGATTGATTCCGCAAGTCACAACAGGAATGAAATGAAAGACAGCCAATGTATTTTGGGGGTCCAAGGATCACCCTTGGGGCTTTAACATTCAACTCAATACTGGGTATGTCAATCCAACCTATGGGAGTGATCTGTCAGCAGGTGCCTGAGTCAGCGGAAGAACAGCATACTCCATGCTGCTTTTGCTTCCTGCACGTAGCACAGCGCTCTGTAAAAGAATAAATGAAATACTTACCTCCAACCGGGTGGTGAGTTGAAACACGCTGTGTTGAAGGTCTCCAGGGGCTGTCACTATGGTTTCTCCTGCCAAAACCTTAGGACACAGTAGTGACATAGTAGTTGGTGGATCATACTACTGGGCTCCAACGGAAAGTGAGGGGAAATCCCTCTGGTGGGATCAATGGCCCCGTGTAGAATACTGACAGGAGTTCTCTCCAATAGTTCTAATCTATTCTTTTCATCCAACCAAAACCAAAATGTAATTTTCAATCATGACCTGAAATGTCCCTTTAAATTGTTGGCGTATTAAATGCAATGGAACCGCTGACTGATCCAGCCCATTAGCTACGAGGCACACCCGCTCCGAGTCCCTGCATCGACGCGGCATTATATCTGTGTGGGTTAATTACGTTTTGCCGCCATGAATAGTTCTTAATCAGAGGTTAATGTTTGAAATTGGAAAGAAATTGGGGTAATTGCCTCTGATTGCCATGTAATTATAGGTGGCAGTGCCAGTGCTGGGCTGAGACCAAGCAGAAACATACAAGGAAATGAAAAGGCAAAATATGAGCAGATCCACTTTTACTTGTTGATGGTTTCCGGAAGATGATCTGATTATTGTATATTTGCATAGCAGTAAATTGTTGTACTCTAATGGAGGAAGGAAAGCGAAAATTCAGCAGATATCATTTATTGGGCTTCGGGTGGCGGCTCTTGTGAGTTCTCTTTATAGCACTTTCATGGCTGACACAAGCAGTACAACTAGCCATTTACACGAGACAGAGCTCCCCGCACATCGGAGTCATCTATTCACAGAGATTGGGCTGTACACAGTCATGATTTGCCCAGCTGAAAAGATACAAACATTACACACAGTGCCTCATCCCTCTCTATTACACACAGTGCCTCATCCCTCTCTATTACACACAGTGCCTCATCCCTCTCTATTACAAACAGTGCCTCATCCCTTTCTATTACACAAAGTGCCTCATCCCTCTCTATTACACATAGTGCTTCATCCCTCTCTATTACACACAGTGCCTCATCCCTCTCTATTACACACAGTGCCTCATCCCTCTCTATTAAACACAGTGCCTCATCCCTCTCTATTACAAACAATGCCTCATCCCTCTCTATTACACACAGTGCCTCATCCCTCTCTACTACACACAGTGCTTCATCCCTCTCTATTACAAACAGTGCCTCATCCCTCTCTATTTCACACACAGTGCCTCATCCCTCTCTATTACAAACAGTGCCTCATCCCTCTCTATTACACACAGTCCTTCATCCCTCTCTATTACACACAGTGCCTCATCCTTCTCTATTACACACAGTGCCTCATCCCTCTCTATTACAAACAGTGCCTCATCCCTCTCTATTACAAACAGTGCCTCATCCCTCTCTATTACACACAGTGCCTCATCCCTCTCTACTACACACAGTGCTTCATCCCTCTCTATTACAAACAGTGCCTCATCCCTCTCAATTTCACACACAGTGCCTCATCCCTCTCTATTACAAACAGTGCCTCATCCCTCTCTACTACACACAGTCCTTCATCCCTCTCTATTACACACAGTGCCTCATCCTTCTCTATTTCACACACAGTGCCTCATCCCTCTCTATTACACACAGTGCTTCATCCCTCTCTATTACACACAGTGCCTCATGCCTCTCTATTACACACAGTGCCTCATCCCTCTCTATTACACACAGTGCCTCATCCCTCTCTATTACACACAGTGCCTCTTCCCTCTCTATTTCACACACAGTGCCTCATCCCTCTCTATTACACGCAGTGCCTCATCCCTCTCTATTAGACGCAGTGCCTCATCCCTCTCTATTACACACAGTGCCTCATCCCTCTCTCCTTGACTGCAACGTCCAGTATCACTCTCAGGGCTTTAAAAGTCTAAACATTGAAACGTTTACAGGTAAATATCATGCATAATATACGTTTAATGCAGCCATGATCTTATGGGAAGGTTGTTGAAATGAATAGTCTGGTGTCAGGTTTCCCTTTAATCTTTACAGACTGCTAGATGCTTATTTCGGATTGGTCACACGGTATATGTGCACGCCACTGAACTTTGTCCATGTTATTAAATAAAGATTTGGTTTTCAAAGGGCTAAAAAAAATGGCTCCACCAAACAGAAAGGACCACAGCTTCCCTCTTGGAGGCTTTATATTTAGGCCTAGCACACACCGGACACCTGAAATAATGCGTTTGTCAACACTGGTGTGATTTCCATAATGGAATTTGTCGGCTTCTTTCCATTCAGTTTGTGTTGTGTAATTAGGGTGCTGGCTGGCTGGTGGAGAAATCACCAAATAAACATACGTGGCTTTGTGTCTTCACAGGACGTAAACGGACAGGTGAAGGAGAGGCGCCCCCGTCTGTGTAACTTACAGAAAGGAACCAGTGGCTACGGATTCAACCTGCATAGTGAGAAATCCCGGCCGGGCCAGTTCATCCGTTCTGTGGACCCCGGATCCCCAGCAGCCAAAGCTGGGCTGAGACCGCAGGACCGCCTGGTCGAGGTACGGCTTCCACTATGGCTCTCACAATTTTACATGCTTCCTGTTTCTTCTTAAACTTTAAAAAATGTCTAAGGCAAATATTTTTTTTAATTTTGGATGGTGTGGAGAATGGTTAAAAGCCCTGAAAGTTTTTTTTTGCTATCAGTGTCTCATTGGAGAGAATTGGTTTTCACTTCCTGCCCTGTAGACACAACAGGAACATGGAGGAAATCTCACCAAAGTGAGGGAAGTTCCCTCTTATACAGTTGTCACTGGAACACGTGTCCTCATAGGAAGATTTCCCCCCCATTTTTATCTACGGATATCACTCTAGTGCAGGGGAAGGCAAACTCTGGCCCTCCAGCTGTCGTGGAACTACAAATCCCATGATGCATCTCTCTCCGAGAGTCATGTCTGTGGCTGTGAGAATCTTGCAATGCCTCATGAGATTTGTAGTTCCACCACAGCTGGAGGGCCGGAGTTTGGCTACCCCTGCTCCAGCGCATGTAGTTGTGTATGTAGTGCAGACTTCTACCGTGACATTCATCATTCCCTCCGGATACTTACATCCAGCTAAGCTGGACCAATGTCATTTTGGAAAAAAAAGATCCGCTTTAATGACAAGTAAAGAAGTTTGGAGAAGTTTGATGCTGATCAGTAAGGCTTGTTATTCACCATGTGTGCAATTGGTGGCTGTTTAAAGTAGAACTCCGGGCAAAATGGTTCTTAACCCTTGCAGTGGGGCTACCCCCATACTGTGCTTGTTTGTGTCTAGGTGCTTAGGAAAATAAAAAGTTATACTTACCCAATCCTCAGAGCCGGCTTGTTCATAGACTGGTCCTTGGAGCCTCTCTCTGGTCCAAGGATCCTTGAGCCGTCACGTTCTATACAATGTATAGGACGTGAGGACACCGAGGGACATACCAGCAGAGGAGACGGGTTTTAGGAACCAGGAAAGGACTATCTGCCAGCCGGCTCTGCGATTCGGGTGAATATCACTTTTTTTAAGCACCTAGGCACAAGCAAGCGCTTAACCCTTTCAGTGCCGGGGTAGCCCCACTACCAGGGTTAAGAAAAGTTCTGCTGTACACAAGGAAACTAACACACAGGAACAGCCACCGAGGCTGATGTCACATCAGTGATCCCGTCACTGGAAACAGGATCACTATGCAGAGCAGAGGAAATACTCACCTGACTCCACGCACAACTCTCTGACTGGCCGGATGAGTAATCCATCGCTGTCAAGTGACATTCTACAGACCTTCCGTCCAGCGACTCGGCTCGTCTCCACCACCGGGAGGGAGGGAGTGTCACTGGGAGCCAAATGAGTATTTATTGTGATCTGCATAGTGATCCTGGTTCTCGTCAGCAACAGGATCATTAGTGTAGCATGGCCCTGACATCAACATGCAAATACACACACTAAACACACATACACTGACACACATTAAACATGGACACAAAAACACAAACTAAACACATACACACACACTAAACACATATACACTGACACACGGTAAACATACACACAAAAACACAATCTAAAGAGATACACACACACACTAAACACAAATACACTGACACAGTAAACATGGACACAAAAACACAAACTAAATACATACACACATACTAAACACATATTCATCGACACACAGTAAACATACACACAAAAACACAATCTAAAGAGATACACACACACACTAAACACAAATACACTGACACACAGTGAAAATACATACAAAAACACAATCTAAAGAGATACACACACATACTAAACATATATACACTGACACACAGTAAACATACACACAAAAACACAAACTAAATACATACACACATACTAAAACACATATACACTGACACACAGTAAACATACACACAAAAACACAAACTAAACACCTACTCACATACTAAACACCTATACACTAACACACTCTAAATACACAAGTACTAACACACAAATAACCCATGGACACTAACATACAGTAAACATACACATAAAAACACAAACTAAACACATACTGTATACTGTCACACACTAAACACACAAGTACTTACACACAATAAGCACATATACATGAACACTAACACACACATACATACAGGTGAAACTCGAATAATTAGAATATCGTGCAAAGTTAATTTATTTCACTAATGCAACTTACAAGGTGAAACTAATATATGAGATAGACTCATTACATGCAAAGCAAGGTAGTTCAAGCCGTGATTTGTCATAATTGTGATGATTATGGCTTACAGCTCATGAAAACCCCAAATCCACAACCTCAAAAAAGTAGATTATTACATGCAATCAATAAAACAAGGATTGTACATAGAACAATATCGGACCTCTGAAAAGTACAAGCATGCATATGTACTCAGTACTTGGTTTGGGCCCCTTTTGCAGCACTTACTGCAATGACTTTTGCACGATATTCTAATTATTCGAGTTTCACCTGTATATACCAACACACAAATATACATGTTACCGCGCACACACTAAACGCATATACAAACTAACACACAGTAAACATATATACACACATATAGACATACACAGACATGTACTAACACACACTCTTAGCATATCTTCCAAAACTAAGCTCTCCTAACCTTTTAGAAGTGTTGTTACAGCAGCCTCCCATCCACCCGATGCCCGTCCAGGACCCTCCATGTAAATATCACTCTGTACGGGGAGAACAGTGATTGCTCTTCCAGTGCATTAGAGTTCTCTGTGAAAGTACTGCCCTGCCATTAATAACAGCCTGGGCCTTGGTCTGGTTGGCCTATGGGCATATCCAGCCCTGAATATGTTCTTACCCTGATATCCACTAGAAGTCACAATGGTGCCCTGGGCAAGATGGCAGCTTTGACCCCTATCTCTTCCTTTGACACTGTTGATAGTAGTAGGCACAGAGAAGCTGCCCCATTTGCATTGTCAGTACTTGGATAGCTCCATCAGAACCCAACTGCCTCCAAATCCATGTTTCTTTGTGACAGGGAGGTGCCCAACGTTGACCATTTGTTGTGTGCTGCAGAAGCATGAAGGTTGTAGCTGGGTCCCTGGTCATCCACCAGGCCTTAGGCTTGTACCTGGGTTGCCGTGTGGATGATCCAGCTCTGCCCCGGGCACCGTTACTATATGCATTTTGCTGTAGTGTGCATTAGAATGAAAATAAATTGTCTGGGTTTAATTACACCTTGAATCGTTCCTTATAATACGCATCTGTCATTTTGAAAGAGGACTCTGCATGCGTTGCCTTATATTGTCAGCTGAACTGATTGTTTTCCCTGAAATGTCAGTATCCTATTACAGTATGTAGAGTGGTTTTCGACATTCCAATCCTATATTCTAGAATGGGGCTAGACGCAGCTCTGTGACTGTTGAGGAACTAGGAAGTCAAAGGCCTCATGAACACTATGTACCAAAACGATGAATTCAGGTGCGCTTGGAGCTCCTTTCTAAACGCACCTGGACTCAAGTAATGTATTTCTATGATTGAATACACACCTAGGCGTCCAGCATCGTCTAGTTACCTTTAGTCTAGCTCAGTTCACCCAAAATAGCAATTTTTGCATTCCGGATCCGACTAGCCCACTTTTATGCAGCTGAATGCGTGTAAAAGCGACTAAGCCTGGTGTTCTATCGAAAGCTCCAACTCATCAAGATCTCCAACTACCTCACGTCCGGTGCTCAGAAAGACTGGAGCTCTGTACAGTTGCGGTGCGCATAGCGTTTTCAGACTACTCGTCGAGTTTGCCACCTGCTGAATATTGTTAAAATGTACAGAGCTCCGTCAGTCTTTGTGTTTTGCAGTCTAACACCGTCTGGTTGAAATCTCCAACTTGCAAGTACCTGGCAGTGAGCTAGTTGGAGATCTCGACGAGTTGGAGCTTTCGATAGAACACCGGCACAGGAAAAAAGTGATCTGGGAAGCATAAAGTTGTTTATACTTACCAGATAACCTCTGTTGGGCTTAAACACAGCCTGCTAGTGCGCATGAGGCCTGAGCTTGACCTGCTTCTCGCTAACAGGAAGGACAGAGAACGTGGGCTCAGGCCACAAAACTTTTTAAGAGATAAACAAACTTAAGCCTGACTCCAGCAGTTAGAGAAACGTATTTTTCTTCAGTTTAAGGTTATACCAATTGGATAAAAGCTGCCCATTGTGAGCACTCTTGGCACTGTTATCTTTTCTCCAAACTATAATGCTCACTTTTGCTGGACAGCTTGGCCTGTTACAGGAAGTGGAAATATAACAGATTTGCTGGAAGAAACAACAGGTAATAAAACTATGTTACGGGGACTCGGGGAAAACAAAAACTGCTGTGTTACTGCTGCTGACAGACTGCATCATAAATGTAATTTTTGTATTTTGCCCATAGTTACATGGACAGCAGCCCGGGCCTCCAACACGCTGCCAGCACAGGACATTTTGTACCATGGCTGCAGCACAATAGTATAGTAAAAACATAAAAGTGACACCCAATGTTTATGAAGTCTGACTGCATTCATTGAGTTATAAAAACAACAAAAAAGCTCAAGTTGGGGTTCAATGCTTGATCATTCGCTGTACTCATATGACACATTTCTGCTCCCTTTAATATCCCTCTTGCATACCTGTTGATCCTGCCAGTAATGATGGTGTAGCATCACTTCCTTCATAAGCCCTCATTCTCACAGTATACAGCTCCGTACCGAGCAGCTCCCGGGAAGGATATAGTGCTGCGTGTGATTAGCCCTATGGGACTACGCGGCCGTACACCCCCCTATGCTCACCCGCCCTGGATCCTGTCTGCGTCCGAGCCAGGAAACACGCACCCGTACGGACCTGCACTTGAGGTGAATGTAGGGCGGCATACGGACGCGTAGTCCCATAGAGAAGGACGGGGTCTGCGTACTAATCACACGCAGCACCTGTCCTTCCTGGGAGCTGCTCGATACGGCCGTGCACGCAGCACGGAGCTGTACATGTGGGCCGATTACTGTGTGAATGAGGGCCAAGAGTGGCAAAATAATAC